AGATGTAATGGTCAGCTAAATTAAATTCACCTGTTGCAGTCGATTTTAGTCCACTGATTCCTAAAATGTCAGAGTTCACGCTTGACATTTCCTGTTTGATCTCTTCCAATTTACCTTGATTCGTAGGCCTAACATTCCAGGTTCCTATGCAATATTGTTCTTTACAGCATTGCACTTTACTTTCACCACCAGTTCAGGTCAGTTCAGTTGCTCAGTCATGTCTGATTCTTTGCGACCTCATGAACCGCAGCACACCAGGCCTACCTGTCCATCACCATCACCCAGAGTCCACCCAAACCCATGTCCATTGAGTCAGTGATGCCATCCAACCATCTCAACCTCCATTGTCCCCTTCTTCTCCCACCTTCAATCTTTCCCTGCAGCAGGGTATTTTCTAATGAGTGAGCTCTTCACATCAGGTGCACCAAAGTATTGGAGTTTCAGCTTTAACATCAGTCCTTCCAATGAACACCCAGGACTAATCTCCTTTAGGATGGATGGATCTCCTTGCAGTCCAAGGGACTCTCAAGAGTCTTCTGCAGCACCACATTCATAAGCATCAATTCTTCAGCACTCAGCTTTCTTCACAGGCCAACTCTCACATCCATACATGACCACTGGAAAAACCATAACCTTGACTAGATGGACCTTTGTTGACAAACTAATGTCTCTGCTTTTCAAAATGCTCTCTAGTTTGGTTATAACTTTCCTTCCAATTAGTAAGTGTCTTTTAATTTCATGGCTGCAATCACCATCTGCAGTGATTTGGGGGCCCAGAAAAATAGTCTGTCACTGTTTTCACTGTTTCCCCATCTATTTGCAATGAAGTAATGGGACTGGATGCCATGATCTTAGTTGTCTGAATGTTGAGCTTTAAGCCAACTTTTTCACTCTCCTCTTTCACTTTCATCAAGAAGCTCTTTAGTTCTTCTTCACTTTCTGCCATAAGGGTGGTTCATCTGCATATCTGAGGTTATTGATATTTCTCCTGGCAATCTTGACTCCAGCTTGTGCTTCATCCAGCCCAGCATTTCTCATGATGTACTCTGCATATAGGTAGGGTGACAATATGCAGCCTTGACATACTCCCTTTCACCACCAGAGACATCCACAAATAGCTGTCATTTCCACTTTGGGTCAGTCTCTTCATTCCTTTTGGGGCTGTTTCTCTGTCTTCTCCAATAGCATATTGGATACCTACTGACCTGGGGGGTTCATCTTTGCTGTCATATTGTTTTGCCTTTTCGTATTGTTTATGGGCTTCTCAAGGCAGAATACTGAAGCATTTTGCCATTCCCTTCTCAAGTATAAAATGAATCATGCTAAGTACTTATATATATATGTATAATCCCTCCCTCATGAGCCTGTCTCCGACCTCCATCCCATCCCCCCCCCCCCCCGCTCTGTGTTTTTGTGGCAATCTCTGAGGTGTCCAAATCTTTTTGACCCCATCAACTGTCGCCTGCTGACAGGCTCCTCTGTTAGTAGGATTTTCCAGTTCAGAATACTGGAGTGGTTTGCTATTTCTTCCTCCAGAGGATCTCCCTGATCCAGGGATCAAACGTGTGTCTCCTGCTTCTCCTGCAGATTCCTTACCCACTGTGCGACCCAGGAAGCCTCAGAGCACCAGGCTGAGCTTCCTGTGGCGTACAGCAGCTTCTAACACACTGTCTACATTACACATAATAGTGTATATATGTTAGTGCTACTCGCTCAATTCGTCCAACTGTGTGCTACTCCTGCTATGTCCACAAATCTGTTCTCTATATCTGTATTTCTATTCCTACCCTACAAACGGGGTTATCAGTACTATTTTTTTCTAGGTTACAATATTAGTATATGATTTTTGTTTTTCTCTTTCTGACTTACTTTACTCTTTAAAATAAGCATCAGTTTCCATCAGTGTCTCTTAAACACCACATCTTATTTCTTTGCTATATTATCAGTGTAATATTATCAAAGCTTACAACATAGTTATCTTGTCCATGACCACAATTTCTAATATCATTTAGCATTAGTTTCATATTTGTATGCACTTTATGTTTTAATGGAGTATATATATTTATTTTATTGACTTTTTATTTGATAAATACTTTGTTTCTGCATCTGTCTTGGAACTTCTGTCACTATAATTTGTTTTCCTGAGATGTATTCAGAGGTAATTATTCCTTAAGTTCTTTGGTATTAGGAAAGGCCTGCCTTCAAATGGATTAAAGATCTAAATGTAAGACCAGAAACTATAAAACTCCTAGAGGAGAACATAGGCAAAACACTCTCCGACATAAATCACAGCAGGATCCTCTATGACCCACATCCCAGAATTTTAGAAATAAAAGCAAAAATAAACAAATGGGACCTAATGAAACTTAAAAGCTTTTTCACAACAAAGGAAACTATAAGCAAGGTAAAAAGACAGCCCTCAGATTGGGAGAAAATAATAGCAAACGAAGCAACAGACAAAGGATTAATCTCAAAAATATACAAGCAACTCCTCCAGCTCAACTCCAGAAAAATAAATGACCCAATCAAAAAATGGGCCAAAGAACTGAACAGACATTTCTCCAAGGAAGACATACAGATGGCTAACAAACACATGAAAAGATGCTCAACATCACTCATTATCAGAGAAATGCAAATCAAAACCACAATGAGGTACCATTACACACCAGTCAGGATGGCTGCTATCCAAAAGTCTACAAGCAATAAATGCTGGAGAGGGTGTGGAGAAAAGGGAACCCTCTTACACTGTTGGTGGGAATGCAAATTAGTACAGCCACTATGGAAAACAGTGTGGAGATTTCTTAAAAAGCTGGAAATAGAACTGCCATATGACCCAGCAATCCCACTTCTGGGCATACACACCGAGGAAACCAGATCTGAAAGAGACACGTGTACCCCAATGTTCATCGCAGCACTGTTTATAATAGCCAGGACATGGAAGCAACCTAGATGCCCATCAGCAGACGAATGGATGAGGAAGCTGTGGTACATCTACACCATGGAATATTACTCAGCCATTAAAAAGAATTCATTTGAATCAGTTCTAATGAGATGGATGAAACTGGAGCCCATTATACAGAGCGAAGTAAGCCAGAAAGATAAAGACCATTACAGTATACTAACACATATATATGGAATTTAGAAAGATGGTAACGATAACCCTATGTGCAAAACAGAAAAAGAGACTCCTATGTATAGAACAGACTTGTGGACTCTGGGAGAAGGCGAGGGTGGGATGTTTCAAGAGAACAACATCAAAACACGTATATTATCTAGGGTGAAACAGATCACCAGCCCAGGTTGGGTGCATGAGACAAGTGCTCGGGCCTGGTGCACTGGGAAGACCCAGAGGGATTGGGTGGAGAGGGAGGTGGGAGGGGGTACCGGGATGGGGAATACATGTAAATCCATGGCTAATTCATTTCAATGTATGACAAAAACCACTACAATGATGTAAAGTAATTAGCCTCCAACTAATAAAAATAAATGAAAAAAATTAAAAAAAATATAAATAAATAAAGTTTATTGATAAAAAAAAAAAGGAAAGGCCTGCCTTCATTTTTTTAAATGAAAGGGTGATAAGGCTTTGTTTATCTTTTTAAGGTGTATAGTTCTTTTCCTAAAAATTTTTACATGCTTTCCCATGATTTTCTACAATTTAATATTCTGTATTCTCTATTAACGATAATTGCACTTTGGTGTGGGTGAATAACATCCCGCCTTCACAAACCCAAGGAAATCTTGCTTATAAGTCAGCCATTCAAAGCCTTCAACCAAAATCCTGGTGTGGTCATCTGTTCCTTGACAGAAGTTGGAAGGGTTGCTGTTCTGGGTATTGGCATCCTTCCATCTCACCCCTGCAGGTGCAGCCCTCTGTCATTGTTGTTGTTTCTCAGTCGCCCCGTTGTGTCCTCTTTGCAACCCCATGAACTGCATCATGCCAGGGCTCTCTGCTCCTCACCATCTCCCAGAGTTTGCCCAAGGTCATGTTCATTTTCAGTGATGCCATCCAACCGTCTCATCCTCTGAGGCCCTCTTCACCTTCTGCCCTCAATCTTTCCCAGTATCGTAGACTTTTCCAATGAGTTTTCTGTTCTCATCAGATGACCAAATTACTGGAGCTTCAGCTTCAACATCAGTCCTTCCAGTGAATATTCAGGGTTGATCTCCCTTATGATTGACTGGTTTGATCTCCTTGCTATCCGAGGGACTTTCAGGAGTCTTCTCCAGAACCACGGTTGAAGGCATCAATTATTTAGCATTCTGAATTCTTTATGGTCCAACTCTCACAATGGTATGGGATCACTAGGAAGACCATAGCCTTGACTATTCAGACCTTTGTTGGCATAGTAATGTTTCTGCTTTTCAACACATAGCCCTCTTTAGCCTGAAGCAAAAGAGGGCTAGCATCTATTCAGTCTCAGGCCCTACTTCTTGCCTAGAGGGTCACATGAAACTTTCTGCTTTCATCTGAAATGTCAGGACTATGAAGATCACAGACTGAAACTATTTCATGTTACTGCTGAAGTCTTGCTAACATTGGCACTCCAGACCAAACCTGGGGAAGGGTGAAGGGGTAGGAAAGGGTTCTTTTTTCATAGACCTTCCCCTCCATGCTGCTTCCTACACTATCATGTTCCCAATACCACACTCAACAAGTTAGATCAAAATTCTATATTCTCAAGCTACATATTCTATTAACCCATTCCTATTTCTGTACTTAGAGAATGCTATTTTCAATTGGAAGTTATTTTCTCTCCTACCTCCAATAATTGCTGAGACTCTAAAGCATCCAACAGATTCCAGCCAATGGACCATCATATCTAGAAATATCTCAAGAGGAAACAAATTTTCATATGCTTTTCATATCCTTGGTGATATAAATTATGACAGAAGTTATATAATTGATTATGCAATATATTTTTATAATATATAACTGTTTTAGGTATATCATGTCTTTAATAAACTTTACAGGTTGCTATTTACATATTCAATTTTAGCTATAAAGAGAATGCTATGAAGTTATCAAGAATTCACCATGATCAGCCTGTGAAACCCCTGGACCGAGCAGTCTTCTGGGTTGAGTTTATCATGTGCCATAAAGGAGCCAAGCACCTTCGCCCAGCCTTCCGTGACCTCACCTGGTATCAGCACCACTCTTTGGATGTGATTGGCTTCCTGCTAGCTTGTGTGGCAACTGTTGCATTCCTGGTCACTAAATGTTGCCTCTTTTGTTGCTGGAAGTATGGTAAGACTGCAAAGAAGAAAAAGAGAGAGTAGTCTTTCTCTGCCTTTTGTTGTTGTTGTTGTTTGTCTGTTTGATTTTTACCAGTTGTACTAGAAACCTTGACAGAGTCCATGTGATTAAATCCAGCCACAGATTTGAAAAGATTTCTCTCCGTTTTTCTGGGTTCTTGTCCAATCTTCACTCCAAAAATATGCTACATGATTCAGAATTAAGGTTTAAAATAATCTAATCTTTAAAAAGATATGATAAATGAATAAACACCTGGAAATTGTTACCATTAAAGACAGTGCTTTCCTTTATTCATTGCTTTTAGTTCAACCAGTTGAGATGCTGGTGAGGCCTCAGGAACATAATGATTAATTCTATTTCCACACTGATCAAGTTGAATATTTCTTAAATATCTAATGTAATTTAGAGTTCAATAATCAATATTATATCATATTCTTTAAAAGAACTACACAAGGACTAATGCAGAACACACTCTAGACAGAGCTTCTTTGACAGTCAGGAATATCAGGAGCCTGATAAAATTTCTACTCTGCTGTAAAGCGCATTTTACACTGTCAATTTCCTTCCATATCACATACTAGACTTGGTTCCCTTTGGAATACAAAACACTGTTTTTCAGTTTTTCATTTGAAGATTATCCTTCATTTGGATAGTGCCAGGGTCCAGCCTCGGCAGGATCCAGGGGGCACCCTCAGGATGAACGGTGTCAGCGAGAGAGAGAGAAGACACGTGAGACCCGCCTTGATAGGGCCAAGTCTGCAAGGGAGAAAGAGAAAGAGAGAGAGAGAGAGAGAGAGAGAGAGAGAGAGAGAGAGAGAGAGAGAGAGAGAGAGGGAGGGAGGGAGGGAGAGAGAGAGAGAGAGAGAGAGAGAGAGAGAGAGAGAAAGAGAAAGAGAAAGAGAAAGAGAAAGAGAATGACCAGACGGGGGTGTTTGCATGGTCTGGCAGAGTCTGGCAATGCTTTATTTTTTACCATAGCTTTTATACCCTAAGTTAGTACATTTCTAAGGGGAAGATAGTTTAACATTACGTCAGCTTGTCCTTCACAAAACCAGGGTGTTTTCTGCATACTTCTTTGTTTATGAGGGTCTTGTACATTATCTTCTGGCCTTGGGGCCTATTAACATTTTATGCAGGTTGGGTGAATATAAACCTATTTTCTGACCTTAACTGAAAGGTAGCAGTCTCATAGGGCAACAGTACAGAGTGGAAGTATAACCTTGTTAACACAAAAATTAATCCTTCTGCAGAAGTTGTCAGTTACGTTTATCTAAGAAGTTTACCCCACACTGACTCTGCGACTTTGGTGAGGCAGCTTCTGCCTAGCACTCCTGGCTGACAATTAACAACCACCTCATTGTTACCACACTAGGGTGGTATTTCTCTAGGTTCTTATTTCCCTAGATCTTTAGCTATATTAACAGTGGTTTCTATAACACAACCTTAGCACTTTAAAAGCAAAAACACAGCAAGCAAAACACAGCAAGCAAACGTCAACCCAATAACCACCTTTAGAATAATTTTTCTTATGTTTTCTAATAGGACTTCCTCACTCCCTGAAGGGCTCTATGTCTACTAGGGCCTTTATATGATCAGGTTCTTTATGCTATTTTATGATTAGGGTATTAATATAAGCAATCATGCATATTAATACCAAGGGCATAAATGCATTTGCCAAACTAAAATACCAGCAAAGGAGTTTAAATTAAAACACTCCTTTCACCCTGGATAATCTCATAAAATACCACCACCTGGGAAACTTATTGATTAAAGTTCTAAATTGATTCATATTTGGGAAGAGATTGGGGAAGGCCTTCTGCCTGTGTCACAGAAATTAGGGAGTAGTCTACTGAGGCAGGCATCAGAAAGACAGGTATTATCTTTAAGGTGACCGCTGGGGGCAGCTTTTCGAAATCTCTGAAAACTTGATCCGCTTTGCCTGTCAGGTTTTCTCCTCATGACCTTGTCATGGGTGAGATCTCATGAGCTGGCCTTTTCAAAATCCCTGAAAACCTGATCCGCCTTGCCTGTCAGGTTTTCTCCTCATGACCTTGTCATGGGTGGGATCTCGTGTACCAGCTCCCGGCAGGATAGTAATAATGATAGTATTTCATTTGTATTGTAACACTTCTTGGCTTCAGAGAACTAGCTGATTCTTGTATGTTTGTGTGGTTATTGATATGATAGACCAAAGTAAATGACTGGAATTTAATACCCACTATTTTAAACTAACTTAAGTACAATAAGGCTGTACATTGTCACTCTGCTTATTTAACTGTATCCAGAGTGCATCATATGAAATGCTGGTCTGGATGAATCACAGGCAGGAATCGAGATTGCTGCAGAAAGATCAACCTCAGGTGATACACAGGTGATGCCCCTCCAATGACAATGTAAAAAGGAACTAAAGAGCCTTTTGATGAGGGTAAAAGAGGGAAAAGCTGGCTTAAAGCTGAGTGTTGAAAAAAAAAATGAAAATGAAAACCATGGCATCTGGTTCCTTCATTTCATGCAAATAGAAGGGAGAAAAGTGGAAACAGTGCTTTCCTGTCCTCCAAAATCACTGTGGATGCTGACTGTAGCCATGAAATTAAAAGGCACTTGCTCCTCAGAAGAAAAGCTATGACAAACCTAGACAGTGTGTTAAAAAGCAGAGATACCACTTTGCAGGCAAAACTCCATATACTCAAAGTTATCCCTTTTCCTGTATATTTGTGAGAGTTGGACCATAAAGAAAGCCCAGCAGTGAAGAATTGATGCCTTAAAATTGTAGTGCTGGAGAAGACTCTTGAGGGTCCCTTGGACTGCAAGGAGATGAAACCAGTCAATACTAATGGAAATCAACCCTGAATATTCACTGGAAGGACTGATGCTGCCATTGAATCTCTATTACTTTGGACACTTGATGAGAAGAACTGATTCATTGGGGAAGACCCTACTTTTGGGGAAAATGGAGGGCAAAAGAAAAAGGAGGTGGCAGAGGATGAGATGGTTATATAGCATCACTGACTCAATGGACATAAGCTTGAGAAGACTCTGGGAGAAAGTGAGGGCTTCCCTAGTGGCTTACTGGTAAAGAATCTGCCTACCAATGCAAAAGACTCTCACTTGATCCCTGGCCCAGGAAGATCCCCCAGGGGAAGAATTGGCAACCCAGTCCAGTATTCTTGCCTGGGAAATCCCATAGACAAAGGAGCCTGACAGGCTACAGTCCAAGGGATCACAAAGAGTTGGACATGACTTAGCAACTAAACTACAACTGGGAGATAGTGAAGGACAAAAGAGATTGGTGTGCTGCGGTCCATGGTGTCACACACAGTCAGATGCCAACAACTACATAAAAAATTTACTTAATTGAATCCTACATTAATTTTACTTACAATATAAATATTTGCAAAGAAGAAAAAAAAACTATTTAGAGTTGCACTGCAGATACTTTGGACAGAAAATGCACTTCCCATAAATGCTGTTTTCTATGGGGATGATTTCTCCTTCAGAATTTCAGGAGTTCATCCATTTATTTCCTTTCCTCTGTCTCAATATTTCTCCTGGTTCTCTCACGAGCTGTACTGTGACCACTGTACTAAGCACAAGTACCTAGGCATCTTACTAACTAGCATCAGCCTAAAATCTGCTGCAATATGAAGACATAAATTGAATTTTAATAAAAATTAACATGTCTTTAAAAAGAGAATCTTCTCTTTTTTTCCCTTCTCTAATCCTATAGGTGAACATGGGGAGTTCTGGCCATAATTTTGTTAGGAAATTCCACTAAATTCTCCAATAAAAAAAAAATCTCTTCCTTTCTTTTCTAAAAAGTTTATCTTTAATATGCTTGCCAATAATTTGCCCCTGATGTCAAAAACGTTATTCAGTCTAACTCAGATGATGTTATGTACCAACCAAGTTCAGTAAGTAATTCACCATAAACTTTTACATCTATAACTCAAGTTAAATAGGCCTAAAATAACTAAGGACAAATGTAAGTGGTAGACTTTATATTTGGTAAAATATGAAAATAGAACAAATATAACACTATCAGAATAAACATAAATGATTTGGGCAATTATCTGTCTTTACAGGTATGAGAACAATGTAATTATAATTTACTATTAGTTGGGGAATTAACTGTAAAGAAATATAGGAGCTAAAAATATATTTTCTCAATTTTATGAGGCTTTTAATAATTTAATTATATTGTTTTAAGAAATGGAACTTTAAAATGCAAGAACTGATGTTAATAGTTAAAGGTAGAATGCATGTAATTAAAGCAATAATACACCATAAACCTAAATCATATATTAGAAATATGATAATGTCCTTTCCTATAATAGTCTTTAAAACATGGTTTAATCTTTGGTCATTTTATGCCAAATTCAAGATATATCTTCACTTTTTATTAATATACAATGATGTTAACATAAAGGAGTTTAAGTAATTCAGGATTTAGATACTTTATTTCTGAGTTTCCTGAGTTTATTTAAAATGATTACTCTGACAACTAAATGCAAATATTCTATCTTGTAGAGACCAAAGCTTTTTTTAAACCATAATATTTACCTATTTGTATCATCTATATGTCATTATGGGGCTTCCCAGGTGGTGTCAGTGGTTAAGAACCTGCCTGCCAATGCAGGAGTCATAAAAGACATGGGTGTGATCCCTGGGTCAGGAAGATTCCCTGGAGGATGGCCTGGCAATCCACTGCAGTATTCTTGCCTGGAGAATCACATGGACTGGGGAGCCTGGCTGACTACAGTCCATAAGGGCGCAAAGACTTGGATATGACTTAAGTTACTTACCACATCTATACATGATTAAATACATTATATTAAAAATCTTATAAAAAGTGTAGGTATGCAAAGGATAAACCATTGTAACATGTTACATTTTTCCAGTTTAATTGCTAATAAAAATTACTTTTGGAGTTTGATGAACTCTGGCTCTCATAGTTAAAATAACATGCTTTAAAATATCTTTTAAACTACTTAATTCCTATGTGATTATATTATGAAATCCTGCT